ACACACACACACACACACACACACACACACACACACTCTCTCTCTCTCTCTCTCTCTCTCTCTCTCTCTCTCTCTCTCTCTCTCTCTCTCTCTCTCTCTCTGTCTCTCTCTCTCACACACTCACACAAACACAAGCACACATACACACACAAACATGCACCTCACTACTCATCACCCACATCACTATGCAGCTGCCTGGGCGCCGACATGTACGACAGCGTCTACCCGACCCGCACCGCACGCTTTGGCGTTGCGCTCATCGACTCGGGCGTGCTGAAGCTCAAGAACCGCGCGTGCGCGGAGGACATGCGCCCGATCGACGATTCGTGCGGCTGCATGACGTGCAAACTGTACAGCCGCGCGTACCTGCACCATTTGGTGCAGCGTGGGGTGCCCAGCGCTGCCATCCTGGTGACGTACCACAACGTAGCCTACACGCAGGTGGGGGCCGCACCTGACGCGCTTGCTTGTGTGAGTGGCTGTGCATATTTACATGTGAGCATGTGTGTGTGTGTGTGTGTGTGTGTGTGTGTGCATCTGTACATGTGAGCGATGTACAAGTGAGTATTTCTGCATAATAGATAACACGTGTGCTTGATTTTGCTTGAGAGCAAGTGCAAGGATAGGTGCATGCTGGAAGGATGGGGTGTGGAAGCGGCAGGCCGCGCTGGATGCTGGTCTGACAAGCCGTGCAGCAGTGGGAGCGCGGCTGCTTGCAGCGCGGGCGCTGAGCACAGCTGCGTAGAGGCCGCGTGGACGCGCAGTGTACGCCGCTCATGCCGCCCCTGCCCCGACCCCTGCGCAGGGCCTCACGCGGCGGCTGCGCGCCGCCATCAAGGAGCAGCGGCTGCCTGACTGGGTGCGGTCCTACATCAAGGGCATGTTTCCCCATCGGGACGTGCCGCAGTGGGCGGTGGACGCGCTTGACGTGGCAGGGATCAGCCTGCCCGACGACATCTGCGACAAGCGGCCTGCGCACGACTTTGACCGAGAGCTTCGGGACGGCGCGTACCGGCCACCTGGGGGCCTGCCGGGTTGAGGCTGCCGCATCGAGGGGATTGGTTGGGGGCGGGCGGCTGTGGATTGGCGGGGGAGATGCAGGGTGCGGCGCGCGGCAAAAGCGTACGAGGCTGGTCATGGCTTGCCCCGGCCTCGTGCAGCGGTCGGTCACGGGACGGGGATGCTGCGGAGCGCCACGGCCCCGAGTGAGCCGGCCCTCATATGGCTTTGTAAATCACTCTTGTTGTATCTCAAGGCCCACGGAGCCCAACGGCCTCGGAGGTCCACCGAGTGCGTGTGGCAAGAGCCAGGCGGGAGGACCTCATGATCGGCCGCTTGGGACTATCGGGCGATTGTACGAGGGCTGTCTAATTGAGGGGCCTGATTTGGAGCAACATAACGGGCCATCTACTACACGCCGGGTCGCCCTGCAAGCCCGGCCCGCGTCCCTGGCCCCAACGTCACTGCAGCCCTCGAATGAGACAGTAGGGATTGCCATCGATCATTGGAGGGCTAAGGCAGCTTGTGAGGGCAGATTCCAGACCTCGTGCGGAGTCAGGAGTTGCTCAGTGGACGGGCTTGAACGAGCCAGCAGCGGCACCGTCTCTGAGGCCGCATCAGCAGCACTGGGACGCCTAGGGCAAAGCTTCAGGGCACCAGTGGCCCGTGCCGCGACCCGGTGAGCCCCGCTCACCCGCTCGGGAGTGATGGCGCTGCCGGTGCGACCCAGCACGGTGCCTCACCAAAGCGCGTCGCGCGGTCGCGCATCGCCCCCGGGCCACCAATGCGCCCTGCGCATCCAACGCTCACACATACCTCATTGGCCCATTCACTTCGCCGCACTTGCACTTGCGGCCCCGAAAGGCACGGCGCCGCTGGCGCACCAGCATGACTGTGCTGCTGCACAAGCAGCTGACCAAGACAGACCTCGGTGCGCTTTCTGTCAAGAACATTCGCATCACCCTGGGCAAGGCGCAGGTGCGGCCGATGGCGCGTGCATGAGGCACGGCGCGGCGCTCTGGTCTTTCGTGGCACGGCATTCCACCCCATTGGCAGCAGTTGCGCCCCATCGGCCGCCAGCAAACGCATTCGACCTGCGCCTTTCCTCACACATCGGCGGCGGCCAGGTCCGCGCCGCGCTCTGCAACCTCCTGGACTGCGCGCGGCCGGATGATCTGAGCGGCACCGACCAGGCGCTGGAAGCTCTCGCAACCACAGCTGTGCCGCTGGTGCGACGGGTACCTAGGGCTGCGGCTGCCTCACAGGCGTCACGATGGTGGCAGCGCCGCCAGCGCGACTGGCAGCGTAGCATGTGCCTGTTTTCCCGCTTTATGACCGGGCGCGTGCGAAATGCAGCCATGCGAAAGCCGGGGTTGCCGCAGGCGATGTGTTCACGGGCTGCGCGCGTCGCCGCGGCCCGCCTCGCCCCGCACACCAGGCTGCGTCCGACCCGTCCGGCTCCGCGTGGGAGCTGCTGCTGAAGAGTACCTACAGGGCCGGCAGCCAGGCCTTCTTCATAGAGCGCGCAGGTGCGCCACAGCCCGCTCGCGCGCTTACGCACCTGCGGATTGCCGCGCCGCTTGACGGCTGGCCGCTGAGCTCGCACAGCAATGATGGGTCTGGGGTGGCTGCCGCGACAGTACAGCTCCGTCAACTCCCACTCTGCCCTCCGCTGCCTTGATCGCCCCAAGGGGAGTTCCTCCGCAGCTGCGACGCCCAGCCGGGCGATGTCTGGGAGCTGACACGGCACTCTGGCAAGCTGGTGAGCCGCCGCCAAGGCACGCCGCGCCTGCAGGGGGAACAGACGCGCGCCGCTCGCCGCTGTGTGCTGGCAATCTGCTCTGCCATATACCGCGCGTGTGTGCATGTGCACCCGAGCCTCATATTGCGGGTCTTCCTCGTCCTCAGGAAATGCGTGTCATCAAGGCCGAGGCGGGCCCAGAGCCCAGCATCACTCAAGCGGAGGACGCCACTGATGAGGTCGGCCCCGCACACCCCCGTGCGCACAGCTGCCGCCTGAGGTCGCACTCACATGTGGCGCATGTGCCCCGCCCGCTCGGTCCCACGGGCTCACAGGCTCGAGTCAACGCACTTCTCGCCGCGCGGCTGCGCTCGCGCTTGCTCGGCCCCGCAGGCGTGCTCCTCCGACGTGAGCGACCAACAAGCGATCCCCGCGTGCGTCCGCGGCCCCGCCGCCGGCGCCCTCATGTCGCCGCCGCCGCCCGCGGCGGGGCCCGCGCTGCTGCCGCCGCCGCCGTTTGCGCCGGCGGCGCCGCGGCCCATCCAGTCGTCGCCGCCGGGCGGGCTCAGCGACACGACACACTACGGCTCTACGTCTTCGCTGGGCAGCTACCCGCCGGCAGCGAGCGCCGCGGCTGCGGTAGCAATGCTGATGGGGCCGCCTTCGGGGCCGCTTGCCGACCGACCGGAGCACAAGCGTTCGGCGCCGCACGACGCGGCCCTCCCGGCGCACGACGCCAAGCGCGCGGTCCCGCCGGGCGGGCCGGCGAGTGCGACGCCGTCGCCGAGCGCGCCGCGGCCGGCGGCGCCAGCGCAGGCGCAGGCGCCGCCGTACGCGCTCGTGCTGCCCGCGGCGGCGTTTGCTGGCCAGCCCGCCGCGCAGCAGCCGGCGCGGCAGCAGGGGCAGCTCATTGGCGACCCCCAGGGCCTGCAGGCTCCAGGCTACTATTTCGCCGTCCCCGCCCCGCACCAAGCCGCCTGGCAGGGCGGCTGGGCCGTCGCGCAGCCCCCCTTCTACTTCGCCGCCGCCCCGCCGCCCGCCGCGCCGCAGCAGCACGCCCTGCAGGCGCAGCCGGCGCCGCCGGGCGCCGCCGGCGGGGGTGCGCCCCCGCAGCACATCCTCGTGACGTGCAACGGCCTGCAGGGCTTCTTGGACGTGAACGACATGATGATCGTCGTCGGCGCCGGCGGCGGGCAGCACCAGGTGCGCCCCGCGCCCCGCGCCGTGGGGTGCGCGTGAGGCGAGCCGTTGCCCTGTGCGGTGCGGCTGCCTCCGACGGGTGTTGTCCACTTAAGAACCCGGGGAGTTGGTATCTCGTGTGCGCTCAATCAAAGCGAGCCCGCCCTGTCTCACGCCGCCCTGCCCCGCCCTGCGCAGGGCTCGCGCGTGCTGCCCGAGGTGTTTGAGGCGATCGCCGGCAAGTCGTCGACGCGCAAGTGGCGCCGCAGCCTGGTGGTGCACCCGGGCGGCGCCGACGCGTCCATAGCGGCGCCCACCACGGTCGGCGAGTGGCTCTCGCGCCACCCGCACCTGGAGGCGCGCCTGCCGCCGCGCGGCAGCGGCCGCGCCGCCGCGCGCGCGGCGCTGGGGCTGCCGGCGAGCCGCGAGGGGGCCGGCAGGGACCCGGCCGCGCGCGGCT